GTATTTTTATATTACTAGTTTATACCTAGTTGTACTTTAGTTCATTCCAGCACAACACACAGACAACATCAACTTCATTATGTGTAGTAGTGACTATACCCTACATGACCAAAATACTCTAGCTATATACTTGTCCAAACTTCCTACCACTACAGATATCAGTACTAGAACTCAACACACAACTCAGGATATAAATAACCATAATTTAAACCTAGAAGATGATTGATCACGTTGACCCTGATCTAAACCTCCATAATCTGACACCCAATCAAAACCTATTGGAAAGTAACTGCCTTTATTACACAGCATCACAAGCCACCACTATCCTAACAATGCTAAAAGTCTATCAGTACTTAACTACAACATCAGGTCCTTAAGCAAACACTATGATGACCTCCTAGCACTCTTGAATCACTAAAGACACCTTCCCCTGCTTATTCTTACTGAGACCTGGCTTAAACAGGACACAATAGATATCTACCCTCTACAGGATACACAGCAATTCACAACTGCAGACTAACCAAGTTGGGGGTGGTATTGCAATCTATTACTCTAACCAATTATCTTGTCTTAGCACCACTTGCTTTAGTGATGAATATGGGGAATACATTTTTGCTAATTTTACTGTAAAAAAACCTTAAGACGCCTATAACAATTGGTGCCATTTACCGGATCCCTAAACACAAACATCCCAGATTTCAGTGAGAAATTAAAGTCACTAATAACAAAGACAAATGAATAAGCACCACCTTCTCTTAGCTGGAGACTTCAACATCAAACCTTGGCTTACTGGGATGATCAGCCTGTAACTGATTTCATCAACAATATGAACAACACACTTCTCATACCAACAATAACTAAACCAACCAGGCTCACTGAGAAAATTTGCAACCATAATAGACACATATGGACCAATATACTAGCCCCCCTTAAATCAGGGATAATCACAGATAGCACTACAGACCACTTTCCCTACCTTCCTCCTGACAAACATTAGTAAACCACCACTTGAATACAACAAAGTCTCATTTAGACTCTATGACGAGGTCTCAGTAAGGAAGTTCACAGCTGACTAGAGGATGTTGATTGGCCTACAGAATTCTCCAAGGCCAATGGTATTGATGACTGGACAGACATTTTTCTTAACAAATTACTTAGACTATACAACAAACATTGTCTATAAAAACAAAACAGATCACAAACAAACGGCTTGGTTGCCCATGGCTAACCAGCACCATTCTGAAATCCATTGACAAGAAACACCAATATGAAAAGCAATATAGACAGGGCTTATACACAAAGGATACTCTTAAACACTATTCATCAGCTCTCACCAAAGTATAAAGAAAGCCAAACAACTATTACTACTCCAGTAGATTCACAGACACTAGAGGAGATATAAAAAAGACCTGGAAAACACTCTCTCAGATTCTAGGGACCACAAACTGAGAAAAACCAAGAATATTGTCCTAACTAAACCTAATGAAACACCACTACATCCCACTGACACAGCTAACAAGATAAACGACTTCTTCTCAAAAAATAGGATCTAATCTCGCCAGTAAAAATCCCACATACCAATGCCCATGCCGGGGACTACCTAGATGGGAATTTCCCTAATTCCTTCTATCTTGCACCAACTGAGCCCACGGAGTCATTGAGATTATAAAGTCACTTAAAATAACTCTGGGAATCTGTCTCACGTCCCACCATTACTGTACAGCGAGCGGCCCATGTCCTTTCGCATGCAATTTCATTACTTTTTAACAAGTCACTAGAGACTAGCACCTTCCCAAAACTACTCAAGATGGCAAGGGTTACACCAATACATAAAGGTGGTGACCTACAGACTTAAACAACTATAGGCCAATATCTAACTTACCATTGCTATCCAAAATCTTTGAGAAACTCGTGCAAGGAGGGCTGTATTCATTTATAACGGCTCAAAACATACTCAACCCTGCCAATTTGGATTCAGGAAAAAATAAAAGCACTAATGATGCAATCATAAAATGTAGATTGTGTACACAGCATTGGAAAATAAGGAATATCCACTAGGAATTTTTATTGACCTAAGAAAAGCTTTTGACACAGTAGACCACGACATCTACTCCACAAACTTGATCATTACGGTATAAGAGGCCCTGCGCTTGCTTATTTCAAATCTTACATTACTATAGGTATCAGTATGTCACCATTAAAGACACAGCATCAGCAACACGGCCACTTGATACTGGAGTTCCGCAGGGAAGTGTCCTTGGTCCCTGCTCTTCCTCATATACATCAATGACCTTCCAAACGTATCCCAACCTGAAACCCATTCTCTTTGCTGATGACACGACTTATGTCATCTCTCACCCTAATCTTGCCACCCTCAACACCATTGTGTAATGAGGAGCTGATTAAAATATCGACTTGGATGACAGCCAATTTAAAAATTACGCTTAACACTGACAAAACCTACTATATTATGTTTGGTAGCAGAGCGGGAGATGCACAAATTAACATTAAGATTGACAACACTCTAATTACCAGAAATAATGGGGGAAAATTCTAGGCTTATACCTTGACAACAACCTGAATTTCAGACCCATATCCAGCAATATAACCAAAAAGTATCCAAAAACGGTTGGGATCCTCTCCAAGATACGATACTACATGCCGCAAAATGCCCTTCTCACACTATACCACTCACTTATTTATCCTACCTCACCTATGCTATTTGTGCTTGGGGATCAACTGCGCAACACACCCTAAAGCCAATAATAACCAACAAAAAGCTGCAGTAAGAATAATCACTAAATCCCATCCCTGGCAACACACCCCCCCACTCTTCATAGACCTAAACTTACTCCCAGTTCAGTACATCCACACTTACTACTGTGCAATCTACATCTAAGGGCCTTAAACTTAATATCAACCTTGACCTAAAACGCTTTCTTGATAGTTGTGACAGAACCCACAGGCATAACACCAGACACAAACATCTCTACGAAAATTCCCCGTGTCCGACTAAACCTTTACAAAAATTCAATGTATGTCAAAGGCCCTAAAATCTGGAATACCCTACCTGAGAACTCTAGAACTGCAGGACACATTCATCACCTTCAAAACTACCATTAGAAACATCTTATCTCCCTGATACACCCGTCAACTAACTACACGAATACCACCTGGTGGTTCACACTTTCACTCACTCATTTGACCATAACAGAATATTATCTCAATCTTAAAATAATGAATCCTGTGATACTCCAATACTGAAACTATGTACTGTGCCAAAACAAAAGCATTCACATTGCTAAACTTACAAACTAGTATTTAGTCACTTAGCCATAATACCAACTTACCTCATAATTTGTAATATTTTACAATTAAGAATAAAACTAAATCTGCCCGAAATGCCTAGCCATGCTAAGCGTTCTAGTGGTACACTCTGTAATCACAATTTTACTACATGTAAACCACACAATAACCAAATTTCTGTAAACTCAGCATTGTAATCCTTATAAAGAATAAACTTTGAATTTGAATTTGAATTTGAATTTGAACCTACAGTCAGCAGTGAGGTGCGGACTTTTGAGTCCACACAAGTAAGTGTCGTCAGCAATCAAGAATCAAGAATCAAGCATTCTGCTTTGCTTCATGGAGGAAATTTGGCAAGGAAGCAAAAAGTACTAGGTCAGCTTTTCCTTTATGTTCTAGGGGCACTGCAGCAGTGTAGGATGCTGTGAGGTCAGATTACTTTTCACCCTACTGGGAGTCACACTGACTCCAGGATAACCAACCAAGAACACTGATCCGTGCGTTAGTGTGAACAAAGTGTCTCACAAAACACGATAAACACTTACAGAGAAGTACGATCAGCTTCTTTAGTGATAAGACTGTGAACAATAAAGACAAACCTTGTGGGACATAGTGTACCAGTGTGCATATTCCTAGACTATGGAAGACGTGGACATCCAAGGACACTTCAGCTTCTATCAAGTCACAGATACCTGTCGAGGGTGTAAAGAACACCATAGCTCATGCTACAAGAGCAAGCTGGGTTACAGATTTCTTGTAGTATGGGGAACTGCACAGTTCTTGTGTCGCAAGGAGTTTGTAATCAACCTATAGTCGGCAGTGAGGTGCGGACTTTTGAGTCCACACAAGTAAGTGTCGTCAGCTATCAGTGTATGATATATGCTGACATAACACCCCCTAGGGGTAATTTTTAATCATACCTAATATACTTTATTTCAGCCCGTTGCGAAGTGGTCAAGACAGCTTCTCAAGACCTCGCCTGCAGGGGCGGCTGTGTGGGTGATAGCTGTCTTATCAGATGAGTTCCCCTAAGTGTAAACTTTAACCTTAGCTGGTAAACCATTTCTCAACACTGAATACCTCCAACCTCCCTTCCTGATTCTTAAGTCTGTTTCATGATCCCCTAGCGACTGGGTTAAGCCCTGGCACTTTCTTTACGACTGTGGACACTTCTCTCCAACGCTATTCTTCGCCTGTCCCATCTTCCCAGCTCACCCCACATGGAGTCTTACCTAAACTTCCTTGTCTTGTCGCCCACGTCTCTCCTATGTACAATGAATAGTTTTCAACAAACTCGACTCGGAAGCTTCTCTGCTAGTTTGGATGGTGCAAAGAAAACTTGAGGTGCTGTACACGAACACTTGCACTCAGGATTGCTGTCAGTGGACAAAATGTGGCCCTATGACCTGTTTTGCCTAAACTTTTTAGCTTAATAACACACGATACCTGCTGAATGAAAATAGCATGGTTTGCTCGTCAGTGTGGTGAACACATCTAGTCGAGTAAGTGATTGCAATCATTCTGTAACCACGGCCATGTAAATAAAAAGTAATATATTTTTAGCAATGCTTAATTAAATTTAATTTTGATGCATCAGCACTTCATTCAGGACTTAAACATTACTGTTCTACTCTATAAATATAAATAATGAGACGATCTAATATAAATAACTCAGTGCACAATTGTTAACTCACTCTCACAGACAACTCCATTTCCAGTAAATCCTGGATTACATGTGCATGTGAAGCTGCCAGCATTGTTGACACAGGTGGCATCAAAGTGGCAATTATCTCGTCCAGTGTCGCATTCGTTCATGTCCAAACAAATATCTTCATTGAGTGTTGCGTCGAACACTTCCTCGTACCCTCGCTCACACACGCATCTGTGATGACACAGAAAACATTACAATACATTAATGACAATGATCTGGCTCAAATTTAATTCCAGGACATTATTCTGATTCTTTATTTTCATTCACATCCAAAAAGGGAAAGTCCAATATGTTAAAAAAAAAAGCATATTACATAGCATTGGAAAAATTAATGATGATTATGAACAGTGAATTTAAAACAAATGAGATATTCATGAATACACAAAAGATAATATATGCAGTGGTAAAGTACTGCACCATGACTAGGAAAATATGATAAACTCAGAATGAGATATACAAAAAATTAAGCGCATTTTGGTTGCTGCGTGAACCGAGGAAAGTACCAAAGTATTCTACAAGACCAGACTGTTTACCTCACTGCTTGAGATAGGAAGAACGGCGGAAAGGACAAAATTTTATTTCAGCAAAATATAAAAATATAAATGTCTGCAGGTGTGAATGTATGTATGAACGGATATGCTCTTTAACATAGGCATGTTTATGAATGTACGCATATTTATGTATACAATGTATGTATTATGATATGTGTGCGAAGAGGTAAACACTTGGCAACTTTTGGCTTAAACAGCAAACTCAGTCTGCAAATCAAGACATAGCGAAAATACTGTGTAAGCATCAATGTTCGCAAGAACCACTCTCTGTAACTAACGAAAAAAGCTATATATTTCATTGTGTTTGTTTATTATTAAATTATTTCAAAAAAACTTTTAATCTATGAACATATATATTTATTGTGTTTGTTTATTATTAAATTATTTTAAACTTATCTGAAATATATTTAGTTTGGATTAGGCTCAGTTAAATTGAGCTTGTTATAATAAGGTTAGGTAAGTTTTCTAAGGTTCTTTTGGTACAAAATTATTAATTTTTGCATTAACATAAATGAAAAAAATATCTAAAAGTATAAGAGAAAAATTTAGAAAGGACTTAATTTTAAATGAGTTCTTGCTAATTAACCAATTTTACCCTAATTAACCAATTACACCCTATGTTGGAACCACTAAACTGAAGCCATTTTTATACTACTAACAACACAATTCATGCTGCTATTTAAGTGTTTAAAGATTATGGAAAGTATGAGAAGCATCGTAATCAATCTGCATCATTATCTTACCTGAAAGTGTCACCATCAACAACACACTGACTGTTGTGTCCACACTCCAGCCGCCCCTCCACACAAGGGTCAACCTCTGAGAAGAGAAACGGGCACTGTTCTACTACATTGTTGTCAGTATTTATACTATAACTCATTGGCATTGTTATCTCAATTTCTGAACATGAAATAAAAGAGTAGTGACATCTCGGCAACCATCAATGTGTTTATCTTCAGTCAACTCAGATATGTGTGATTTTAGGAAATAATGAATTCTTAAAAAAAAATATTCCTACGTCTATACTTTTCATATTTATGGTCTTTCTTCTTTTATTACCTTCTATATTTCTTGTCTCTGTCTATATCTGCCTCAATGTTTGTTTCTATGTCTGCCTGTCTCTTATGTCTGTCTCTATCTTCCCCTCCCTCATTCCCTTCCTCCCTCTCATCCTCTGTGTCATTGTTTTCATTTATTCAATTGTCTTCTTTAATTTTCATTAATGGCAAGAAAGTTTCCACATATGAGTCACTCCAGAGTGGATACTCAAAGATGGTTTAAAGTCCTTTGAGAAAATATGGAGAGTTTCTTATGCCCACAAGAGCACTTTTCTTTAAATATTTATTATATTACTTAAATCAAGGGGGACCGATAAACCTGTAAGGATCATATATCAAGTTGGGTACTCGGAGACATAGTTGATTCAACAAAACGTAAACCAGCTCAAGCTCTTGGATCAAGAGCCCTTACCGAATTTAAGGCACCCCCTTGAATATTTTATCAATCAATAGCCATCAGGTGTATAAAGGCTTTTAATGAAACTTATAAGTGTTATGCCATACAGAATTTTTAATATTATTAAGCAGTACAGATTTAACTAAGCCTACATATGTGAAACTACAGAGTTTAATTGCCTCCACTCACCCATGTCTAACACCTCACGTATGCTTGCTGGATGTTTAAGCCTTCACACACAAAACCTCCTTCACCCCGACCCTCCAACATTTCCTAGAACGACCCCTACCCTGCCGCATTCTCTCCACTACAGATTTATATGCCATCTAAATCATCCTATTTTTTCTATCCTCTCTAAATATCTGAACCACCTTAACAGCCCCTCTTCAGCTATCTGGATAATGCTTTTAGTAACTCTGCACCTCGTTCTAATCTCCAGACTACGAATTCTGTACATGAGATTTACACCAAACTTTTCTCTCAGCTCATACACGACATCTCCACTGCCTCCAGCCTTCTTGTAGCAGCATTCGCAGCCTACCTATATAAGAACGTTGGTATTACAATACTCTCATACATCCCCGTTTTGCCTCCATAGATGACGTTCTTTGTCTCTACATGTGCCTCAGTATACCACTCACTTTTTCCCTACGTCAATTCTATGGTTCACCTTCTGTTTCATAAGAACATCTGCTTACAAGTCCATTCCCAAATATCTGAACACATTCACATCTTCCATACTCTCTCCCTCCAATCTGATATCCAGTCTTTCATTGCCAAAATTTTTTGTTACGTTCACTACCTTGCTCTTTACCATATTCACTTTTAATCTATTCTCACATACCTTCCCAAACTCGTCCACCAACCTTTGCAACTTCTCTTCAGAATCTCCCAAAAGCACAGTGTTATCAGCAAAAAAAAGCAACTGTGACAGCTCCTATTTTGCGTTAGATTCTTTATTTTCCACTCCTATGTCTCTTCCCAACACCCCTCCCTGTATTTATTTCTCTTACAACCCCATCTATAAATGTATTGAACAACCATGGTGACATCACGCATCCTCTTTTACCAAAAAAATAATCTCCCTCTCTCTTACATGCACTAACCTGATCCTCACTATCCTCCAAAAAACTCTTAACTGCTTTCATCAAATTATCACCTATTCCATACACTTGCCACATCTCTCATATTGCTCCCTTATCCACCCTATCATATGCCATTTCCAAATCAACATTTGCAACAAAAAACTTCTTTACCCTTATCTAAATACTGCTCACTTATATGCTTCAACGTAAACACTTAGTCTACACATTCCATACCTTTCCTAGAGCCTCTTTGTTCATCTGGGATGCTGGTCTTCGCATTGCTCTTAATTCCTTCAATAACAAATCTACAATACACTTTACCAAGTATACTCAACAAGCTTATTCTCCAATGGTTTTTACACTCACCCTTTTGTCCCATTTGTCTTTATACAATGAACTGTGTATGGTCTCTGCCAATCCCTAGGTACCCTCCCCTCTTTCATAAATTTATTAAATAAAAGCACCAACCACTCCAAATTAACCTGCTTTTAACATTCTTGTCTTGATTCCATTAATATCAGCTGCTTTACCCCTTTTCATTTTACCCACAGCCTCATGCACGTCCTCACACTTACATCTGGCTCATCCTCACTCCTGGCCAATGCAAGAAATTACAGCTTCCCACTCTGTATCAACATATAACAGTTCCTCAAAACATTCCCCCCATCTCCCCACTATCCCCAACACCTTTCTAATAACTCTCCTCTTCTGTTTTTAAAATGTAAAATTTATTCTTTCCCTTGGATTATTTCAAATTATTAATCTCACTCTATAAACATTTCTAATTCTCAGCAAAATTCTCTCTTTTGCTCTACTTTTACACTCTCTCACCACTCTCCTAATCTCTTATTCCCTCCATATACTCCACCCTCCTTATGTCACTTCTGCTTTGTAAAACCTCTCATATGCTAAGTTTTTCTCTCTTACCACACCATTCCACCAACTGATCCTCTTCCTCCATGCTCTCACCCTCCTATATCCAAAATTACTCTCTCGTTTAGTTCAAAACTTCCTAAGCACTCTCTAAACATCTCCCTAAATCTCTCTCTCTCTCTCTCTCTCTCTCTCTCTCTCTCTTCTCTCTCTCTCTCTCTCTCTCTCTCTCTCTCTCTCTCTCTCTCTCTCCTCTACACTCCTCTTTTCAACAGGTGTATAAACACCAATTATAACACACTTTTTGCATCTGACCCTTATATTTATTCACATAATCTTTGAATTTATATTTACATACACTATTTTCCTCCCATAACCGATCATTCAACTTTACCGTTACGCTTTCCTTAGCTCTAACTCTCTCAGATACAACTGACCTAATCCCATTTATTTCTGTTCACTGAAACTCTCCTACCCTCTTCAAATATGTTTTGTTTAAAGACAGGATATCCAACTTCTTTTCACACATAACATTCACAATAATCTTTTTCTTTTCATATGGAGTACGTCCACGAAAATTCGAACATCCCAACTTGAATGGGTTATTAGCCCTTTGCTCCTGACATTTTAATCGCCACTTTCGACATGGCTTAGGAAGTTCATAAATTTTCACTCCTTTCTTACTCGCTGATGACATTCTCCATTGACCTGTCTACCTCTTACTCTCACTGTAGTTACTTATTTTTTTTATTAACACACTGGCCGATTCCCACCAAGGCAGGGTGGCCCGAAAAAAGAAAAACTTTCACCATCATTCACTCCATCACTGTCTTGCCAGAAGGGTGGTTTACACTACAGTTTTTAAACTGCAACATTAACACCCCTCCTTCAGAGTGCAGGTACTGTACTTCCCATCTCCAGGACTCAAGTCCGGCCTGCCAGTTTCCCTGAATTCCTTCATAAATGTTACTTTGCTCACAATCCAACAGCATGTCAAGTATTAAAAACCATTTGTCTCCATTCACTCCTATCAAACACGCTCACGCATGCCTGCTGGAAGTCCAAGCCCCTCGCACACAAAACCTCCTTTACCCCCTCCCTCCAACCTTTCCTAGGCCGATCCCTACCCCGCCTTCCTTCCACTACAGACTGATACACTCTTGAAGTTATTCTGTTTCGCTCCATTCTCTCTACATGTCCGAACCACCTTAACAACCCTTCCTCAGCCCTCTGGACAACAGAGGGCTAAATAATTGTCTGATAAATCTGTTGCCCTCTTGTCACAGCTGGCGTTTATAGCGTCGTCAGTTACCTTTGATTGATTGATTTTTCTTTTTAGCGTTCGATGCCTAGAGTGTTTAGATTGGATTTAGGTATCGCGAGAATCCGTAAGAGATTAGTTTCCAACCTTATCCGGAAGGGAACGTGGTCAGACTCTACGATGATACTGAAGGTTATCCTACAATGGAACAAGTAGCTGTCCATTGTTACAGGATAAGACTACATCTGGTCTAGGTCCAGTTAAGGTCGTGAAAACTGATTAGGCATGGATGTCATGGCCACGGCTGATGAGGGCAAGGTGGCGGGCGTTAAAAATGAATAGGCTAACATGATATTTTTCAGATTACGTATTTTTTGTTTATAAAAGTATACAGCTATTTAGTATTTACATTGTATTTTATGTATGCTTCTTTTTTGTACAAAACCTCTATGATAAGTGGATTTTTAAAAAGTTTCCATTTTGTTTAGGGTTGGAAAACGATCCATAAATTGCAAGAAGCAACATTATTTCATTCAAATTGGAATAATATTTTTGAATGTGTCCTTTTGGTACATGTGGGGAATACTCTAAAGTCGTTTAGTATAAATGTCTTTTTTTCAATGCCCAAAAACTAAAGAACAGGAATATACATTTTTTGACGAATGTCAAAATTAACTACATTTTTAAAATATATTTATGGGGTCATGGCTTTTAAAACAAAAAATAGAATATACAAAAAGTATTTAGAGAAACCGTACTATGTGACTGTCTATTTTAGAGGATCGACTTATGCAGCGGGTAATGACCTACACCAGAATGTTTAGTTCGTTTGCTAAACACAATGAAATTTTGTGTATGAGATGTTTGAAAACAAAAACAATAGGTATGAGATTATGACGGATTTACTGCCTACACAACAGTGACAAAAGACACTGGAAGAATGAAAGTTACAAAACAGAGGCTGGAATAATTTACAAAGCACACTTTGGTAGTAACCTTCAGATGTCTAAAGTTTCCTCTGTGAAGTGTGGGTTATCTGTATAAAAAAAGTCTAGGAAATATTAATATTAGTAATAGAGAACATTAACTTACCCTCAAGAGGAGCCACCTTAGCTGAGAGTGCATAGCGGACAATTTCCTCAGGGGCATCATACTGAATGAAGATGTTTTCCGCAACCTGTCTCAAACAAGAAATTAAATCCTTATGCACTTACTACACTGAACTGGGAAAAATTAAAAGTAGACAATTGATAAAAATTAAAATTAAAATCAAAGATGAGAACAAAACAAATTCTGGCCACAAAATAGAGCGAAACACCAACGTCAAAGACCTGGGAATGATCATGTCGGAGGATCTCACCTTCAAGGACCATAACATTGTATCAATCGCATCTGCTAGAAAAATGACAGGATGGATAATGAGAACCTTCAAAACTAGGGATGCCAAGCCCATGATGACACTCTTCAGGTCACTTGTTTTATCTAGGCTGGAATATTGCTGCACACTAACAGCACCTTTCAAGGCAGGTGAAATTGCTGACCTAGAAAATGTACAGAGAACCTTCACGGCGCGCATAACGGAGATAAAACACCTCAATTACTGGGAGCGCTTGAGGTTCCTGAGCCTGTATTCCCTGGAACGCAGGCAGGAGAGATACATGATTATATACACATGGAAAATCCTAGAGGGACTAGTACCGAACTTGCACACGAAAATCACTCACTACGAAAGCAAAAGACTTGGCAGACGATGCAACATCCCCCCAATGAAAAGCAGGGGTGTCACTAGCACGTTAAGAGACCATACAATAAGTGTCAGGGCCCCGAGACTGTTCAACTGCCTCCCAGCATACATAAGGGGGATTACCAACAGACCCCTGGCAGTCTTCAAGCTGGCACTGGACAAGCACCTAAAGTCGGTTCCTGGCCAGCCGGGCTGTGGCTCGTACGTTGGTTTGCGTGCAGCCAATAGTAACAGCCTGGTTGATCAGGCTCTGATCCTCCAGGAGGCCTGGTCACAGACCGGGCCGCGGGGGCGTTGACCTCCGGAACTCTCTCCAGGTAATTACAAGCATTTACAAAAGGAGAAATAACGATAAAATATTATGGATAGACCTTTGTATTTACTGTATATTGTGGCAAAAGCCATTAGAGAAGAGTGGTTAAAACTCCTGGAAACCCAGTACTTACATATCAAACATTTCGGCTCCAATATACCATATTTAACAAGCAAAAGAATTTTATTATTATTATTATTATTATTATTATTATTATTATTATTATTATTATTATTATTATTATTAATGCTAAATTAATATGTCATTCATATGACAACATAAAATATACATGAAATAAATGGATGATGAAAAACACATAAGTGAATTTAAAAAAAAAAATCTGTAATGTTACCCTTAAGAGACTACTCTCGAAGTTAAACTTCAAAATAGATGAAACAAATCATTAAAAAAGGCAATGAATGAAAGATTTTCCTTTGAAAGAAATATGGAAACAGTGACAAATCGGAAAATGACCAAATGGGATTACGTCATTAGTGGAGTCCCCCAAGTATTAGTACATATCCTGACAGAAGACAATTATCTGAATGTGTTTAGATGGTGCAAATAACTTTTGCAGATTAAGAAATAAAAATAACTAAATCTCTACAAGAAAATAAATAATAAATAAATGGAGTGATAAATATAATTTATTGAAGACAAGTGTTACATAAATTAAATAAAGGAAAACAGTAAAATAAATCTGTGATAAAGTGCTCTAGGAGTAATTATACCCAAATGATATTGTCATTGTAGGTCATTTGGGTAATACTTATTAATAACTCATATTCATCAGTAAATAGATAAGCAATGTTTATTGGATAAACTAGTGATGAGAAGCCTCGTGTTAGGCACACTGGTCAGTGTGAGCACACATTCACAACTGTGTTGCCAAACGATTACTTGTAAGTACTACATTTTCTTCACCTCAGAAATAATGCCATTAAGTCGTTTAATTCAAAAGGGACACATTGTCAACCCTAACAGTTACTGAGGCCTTGTTGATAATTTTAAATCTGTTATACTTTTAGAGTAGCCAAATTTACAAAAAAAAAAAAAAAAAAAAAAGCGAATTTAAGTTTAGTGTACTGAAATTGGAAACATTGCTTATTATAATTGACTGCATTTTTCACTGAAATTAATTTAATGGTTATCTGTATCCACGTACTGCAATACCTCAACGACTGTCTATGCTGATGAAGTCAATATTTAAAAACATTTGTTTCTCTAAGTAATACTCATCACAATCAGTGCGAGTTATTTTAAAAATACCAGAATTCGTCCGGATATCTATCGAAAATATTTTTATTTCAAATGATTTAATGGTGTTCTAACTGTTGAAGACAAGGATCACAATATTTTGCGAATGAATTTCGTTGGTATATTCAAGATCATCCATGTAAAAAAGAAATATTTAATTTCTGTTTGCAAAGTCTATTTTCTCTATAGAACCCAAAAGTTACTTGTGTTCAAGAAATGAGCAGTCTAAAATTCTCAGTGTAGCCAAACTCGGAAATGTTATAAATATACTCAATACAATGTTCTAAGAACTGTGAAAGGCATACTTAGTATGGTTTAAGGAATAAGCCTGAAATAACACATCTCGTTGCTTGGAGAAAATTATAAGAAAATGAATGCACATCACTATCTAAATTTATTTGCTTTCTTTATGCATACCAGATGTCGAAAGCAGGTGAGAAAGGATGTCAATTGTCCCATCTTTAATCCTATATGTGTATATGATAAATTATCATTGTACAGTCTTATAATATTTACAGTTAGATAACCTTTATCATCCTTCGTCTGTCTTGTTTTCAGAAAAAAAAATTCTAACTTCCATTAAAAACATTGTATTATCGAAACCAGTCGAAGGATAATTCATCTATATTATGTAGTTTTTATATAGCGTAAACTATATAAATATGTTCGACGAATTGAGGTGTGATGCAGATACGTAATTAAGGACGTTGATGCAACAGTCGAACCCTTTCTACTAACATTTTTATTCCAGTGTTTCATTTTATATGTAGTTTGGCTCTAAATTTTTCTCTTCGTTTAATATTGTGTGGAGATAACTGTAATATTTAAAATAATAGTATTAAAAAATAACTGCAACTGAGGACCATATTCTCCAAAATGTTAGTCATATGTGATAATCTAACCTAATTTTGATGGGTTTCGGAAGGATGCTGGCAGATCACAGGATTTTTGTATGAGTTCTCTAGTGCTATAATAACCACGTTATTGAAGCAACTTAAGCCAAAACAAAAGATGAGAAGCACCATCAGCAGCACGTAGCTGTGCACCCATGAAACCAGAACACTGATTCAAGGAAGCTCTCGTGCCTAGCAATATTTATTTATGCTGCCACATGTTGAACTTTTTTTTTCTAATTTTATCTACTTGTTCTCAGTCTATCCCATAGAATTTTTTTGAGTGGGGAACGATGCCCAAAAGTTTGATTCCGTTGCATACCTGGATTAGGAAAATCAAACTTCTGTTTTTGTGCATAATAAATTTATACGTCTGTTCGCAGCTTGCGTCCTCAATGGAAGAGTTGTTAACTGTGTTTTTTTATTCAAGAAGTCAGTCAGACAGACAGGAAATCTATTTCTGTACTGTTTATCTTAGAAACTCTTCACAATTTCGGTGCAGTCACTTCTGTATTTATTTCTTCTATATTTATTTCTTGCATTTCCTGTCTTTGCATTCATTAGTTCACTAATTTTGCTGATTCTTCAAGCATTCTCTTTCTTTCTGTATCTTTACAGAATAGTACAGAATGAGTTTTTTCTGCTCTTTCTATGCATCTTGTTCTGTATATGTATGCTCCAACGATGCTTTAAATATTCTTGGTAAAATTCTTTGTCTTCTCCTGATATACTTATTTTTACTATACTCACTAAAGTTTATTTCATACTCTTACTTCATTATCCATTACTTTGGTGTCATCTCGCGTTCTCTGGTCTTCTTCGGTCTGATGAGATAACCGATTACATCTGTGCTTCGGGTTTTATTGCTCCAAGGCTAGCCGGGGGATTCGAATGTGGACCATGTATAAAGCAGCCCCAATACTGTTACCACTCAGCCACAGAGAATAAAGCAAAAATACAAGCAGCATAACTGTGATTTCGTTGTATCAGCAGCATCAACTGTGACCCTACTGTCTAAAAGATTTCATGGTACATCGACTCACATTCCCCTCAAAGCCATCAACCCAAGATAAGTTTAAATAAATAACTGTCAACGAAGAAACAGAACACTGGACAGAGACTTGAACCATGGGCCAAATACACATCAGGCTCAGTACTAAAACTCCCCAGCCAACAAGCTTTAAACAGGATAACTCCATAACCATCACAACTATGACTTGGTTCTGTCAGAGGCTTCAATTGGGATTCTGTCTTGGCATCCACAGCTTTCATGGAGAAGTAAACCGTTTATTAAGGCGGTCAGTTAACACCTATTGGCTCTAAAAAAAGTGATAATTGTTTTCTTCTCTTGAAAGGAATGTCATGATGGACTGTGAATGACACCATTCACTTGATGGGGGAGGCACAGTAGCTTTTTTAACATGATCAAACCTCCAATATCGTCAATTTTCCGTTAGCTATGAGTCCCATACCAGGCTCAGTTACATGTCAGGAAATTTGATCTTTAGATCAACTCGGAGGGTGGAAACGTTGGGCATGTTTTCTTACACCTGTTCACCTAGCAGTCAGTAAAATACCCTGGGTGTTAGTCGACAGGTGTGGGTCGCATCTTGGGGGACAAGATTAAAAGACCCCAATGTAAACATGACAGTCCTCAATGATTCACCGATTTTCATGGGTTATCCTGGGTGGATAACCCTCCAGGTTAAAGATCCAAACAAATCTTATCTTATCACCCACGCCGATGCTAAGAATTTTCCTGCAAGATTCTCTGTTTCTTAAAACGTTAAAACAAAACCTAATTAGGCACATGACCTCATTAAAGATACCCAAATGTTGCACATGTGTCTAATTTTTATGGTTCTCTGAATCATTCATCTACATAAAACAAAGGCACATTACCCGTTGTTTGGAATCTAACCAGTTTGCAAGGATAACTGATGTAGGATAAACTTCTTTCTTAATATTTT